CTAGTAGCTTCTCGCTCCTAGTAGCGATGCCCTTTGCTCCTAGTAGCTTCTTGTTACTAGTAGTACCATCAGGAGCTACTAGTAGCGTCCAGGTGTACAAAAAGAGGAGAGGTCTCCATCATGGAGCGGCGTGACTCGTCGGTCGTGACTCTGATTCGCTAGAAGGCAGGATGTCCGCATGCTTGGGTATGTCGCCGCCTGCGAATCGCCGTTCATCTTTACCTTGCCAAGCACTCGGAGCATGTTCCAAGGAAAGTGTTTCTTGATGTTTCTTGAACATTCTTGATAGATCATGATTCATGATAGATTAGATCCTACTATACAGCCTGAGAGGTGAAGACTTCACAGAAGTCTTCCCAAAAGCAAGTGTCAGCAAAGCAGTTTCTGAGTCCCCGACGACACACCCTCCGACGAGCACGGAACAAGTGGTCAAAAGTAACACGACGCCTCGGACACGGCGGAAAGAACACCAAGTGTGCAAGCTGGTTGGGACATGGCCATGGGCCATGGGTCAAAACCAAAAGGCCTGGTTCATCCTCAAAGAAGCGCCAGAAATAATAGTGAGAACAATCTAGACTCTAGACAATGATCACAAATGTCAACCTCCCATGGTTTTGGAGCTTCGTTTTGGCCTACAGCTATTTGGATTGGGCCATAAAGGGAAGTTTGCAAGATGCGAGGCTTGTTGGCTCATGATTTCCACAGGAAGGGAGAGCTCATCCATCATCATCCAAATTAACCCCAACCGAACCGACACAATCTCACCCACAACACAAATGTTCTTGCTAGCAAGCAGCACTGTGTGGTCCAGAGGTCCCCTCTGGCCGGCCAAAGCTAACAGCTGTGAGCCAGGCAAATCATCAAGCTCAGGAATTCCTTCTTAAAACAGGCAACGGCAACAGCTTGCCAAATAGGCGGTTTCATGGGTCTTTCCAGCTTCAATGTTTCTTCAACTGATAATTGTCATCCCGATCACAATCCAAGCTCTCACCAGTCAGCTGATTCTTTGCAAGAGCATGGGAGAAAATCCCTACTCCCTCACCAGCAATCTCTCGCCACCGAACAAAGGCCTTGATATATCTCGATGATATGAGTTGGTGTGTACATAGAGGTAGAGGACGCTACTAGGAACAAAGGGCATCGCTACTAGGAAGCAAGGACGCTACTAGGGGCTCCTGGCCTTACTACTAGTAACAAAAAGCTACTAGGAACAAGAATTAGAACTTGTTTGTTCGTTCCAAGTTGGTAGAACATAGTTGGATGTCCCGTAGTATTGTAGGACATAGGCGTTTGGCATATGGACACTAGCGGCTCGCACAATGTGAGCTGCTCCATTTTTCCTCTTGCTCAGCCAGCCTGGCGCCAGGTCTCTTTCTTCACCTCAGAAACTATACATCATGGCAACACACGCCTTTGTTCCGACGAGCCAAGCGCTTTGGCGGAAAGTAAGTCGCACAAGGGTGTTTTGACAGCATCCCCGTCAACTAACCCATCAGGTCTGCAATACAATTCTCCTGTTGGCAGTGCTGTCTTCCTTTCCTGAGCATATTCATACAGAAGTGAAAGTCTCAAGCCCTCACCAACAAGGCTTCTATTTGGTTGGAGGCCATTGCTATTAAGTTGGAGGCTATTGCTATTAGGTTAGTTCCTTAAAGTTTTTTTTCTTCCTTCTCTGTGAAAGTTTCATCGTCTGCTTCTCTGCCCGCCTGCTGGGTGCCCATGACCGCGGCTCGCGCGGACTCGGAGATTAGTGACTCTAGGAGAAGAGAAACAAGTGGTTTGACATGGGGGACCTATTTGACATATTTCACAGAATGTTTCAACAGCATAGTTTGCGCAGTCTTGATTCAAGAGTCTTGACATGTCTTGACCGTCTGCCACCCAACCGAATGTGTGTCGTGGCCCATCGGTGCAGCTTCCTTGGCAACCGGGCGGGCCGTGTCACGCGCCACAGGATGTCCGCCGCAAAGAAGCCCACACCCACAGCCAACTGGGCAACGTCACGTTGACGTCCAGAGCAATGCTTACGAACCAGCAAGCAAAAATGAATGTGCTGACAGGACCAAAAGAACAGCTAGAAATGCAGAGTAAACAGAAGCTGCACTGGATCGCTCTTGATTGAATTGCACGTGACATCGATTGTGATCCATCCAATCCAAGCAACCTCATCGTGAAATAAAACAACGAAGCAAAACGCAAATCAGTGTGCTCAGGTTTAGAGCTTCCAGTATGCACATGCCGGAGGTGCAGAAACAATGACCATCACGGTGAAGTAACCCAGCCGCATAAAGTCTTCCTTCCGCATTCGTTTGTAAGCCACACAAACACAGGGAAGGGACAAAGAACATCAAATAGCTACTCGATAACTGTGAAATGCCACTTGAAATAACTCCCAGTGACAACCTTTCAACCTTTATCAGTTCTCTCATGCTCTTGGAATATGTTGCATGGCCTTTGAATCAAACAACGTGCCTGCCTCCTCTCCTTCCCAACCTCGCACATGTCGCTCCTTGAATTCGACCTCGCAGGTCTCCCCCGAGTAGGGCGCTTTGCAGAAGCAGACGCCGCTTGCACAAAGGCCTCCAAAAAGGGGCCGGTCATGGGTCCACAACGGCTCCCAGCCCCCCCTGTCCTTTCAATTTGAAGCGGATGATGTTTCACCAATCAAAACTGTCAGGGACCACCCAGCTATTTTTTGTTCCTAGGACGCTACTAGTAGCAAGGAGGCCATCGCAAGTAGGTTCGAGGCCATCGCTACTAGGAACAAGAAGCTACTAGTAGCTCCTATAATTACTGCAATGTATAATAATTGCAACTATATATTCGTTTCACACTCAAAGGAAACTTCATCTTGCCTCGATCAGCCGCGCAGCCCGGTGTGCAGCTTCCATCACCCAAAACACTCCTAGAAAAGACATCGGGTCTTGTCATTGATAGTCTTTTCCTGATGTTGCAAATGTCTTCCAAAGATCCTGCCCCCTCAGTCCTCGGCATAGAGGGTGCCACAAGCTCTTTCCTGCGCAAAAACGACCCAGGCCACTGCCTTGCAAATACCACCCTTGGGTGTGGGAGGATAGATGTTTGAGAGGCGCCTACTAGACCAGGCCCAAGCCTGGCCAAGAATTAAAGATCCCGAACTTGACAACTAGATATAAACAGCAACTTTCAGGGTGTGTTTCTCACTCCCACCCTTTAAACAAGAAGTTGGATCAAGGATCTCTAAATGTCATGCTCCCAGCCAAAGGCCCCCATGCTTTATGCTTGGGCCACATGGGCCGAGGTTCCATGTCACCTCCTTCAGGTGCCTAGCACATCGCACGCCATCTTTGATTTTGCCACGACTGTCTCCATCTGGCACAACTGCTACTTTGGGGGCATCCAGCGTCCCTGGAAGGGCAAATCTAGCAGCTTTCGGCATGCTTCCAAAGCCCAAGCTAGGTTGGAGGCCATCGCTAGTAGGAGCAAGGACGCTACTGGCCTTACTACTAGGAGCAAGAAGCCACTAGGAACAAAGGGCATCGTCGCTACTAGGAGCAAAGGACACTACGAGGGGCTCCTGGCATCGCTACTAGGAGCAAGGACGCTAGTAGGTTGGAGGCACACACTACTAGGTCCTACTAGTAGGTTGGAGGGAACTCCCACGAGTCCCTCGCCGAGACCCTTCATCACTTGGGCGAGACCCTGATACAAAAAACTCAAACAGAATTGGCATGGAAGTTCGTCGTTTGCCACCTCTGCTTGAAGTGCCACCTCTCTTTTGGGTTGGAACTCCTGGTCTTCTGGCTTCTTATCCGCATTCGCAGGAGTTCCAGCCCATCTGATATACTTGCTCCATTCATTGGAGCTCCACCGGGGACCGTCGGTGACCCGTCGCGGTCGCTCACACCGGCACTTTCCCCAGACGTCGCATCTCTGCCAGCAAGGTCTGAGCCTGACGGTCTGAGGAGAATGGATTGTTAGATCTATATTAAAGGACTTTGTGGAGAACAGTGTAGTTATAGATTATCAATGTGTTCCCATGATTGTTTGTCTCTTGTTCACAAACCTGTGGTCAAAGACCAAAATACAATGTACTGCCACGCCACCTCTCCCCGAAAGCACTTTGAAAAATCGCTGTATACAAATACCAAACCATACCAAACCTCTAGCCTGTAGCATCCAAATGCATCCAGGCATCCAGTCTATTCACCGCAAGTGGGGACTAGTGACCAACTAGCTCCGCTTTTTGGCATAACTGAACTGCCATCTGCCTTGCGGATGCGGCTCATGAGCACCGCAGAAGGGTTGGAGGCCCGGAGCCTCGCGAGTGGGTAGGGGACACTACGGGCAAGGCAAGACCCAGGTGCAAGGAGTCACCCACGTAACCCAATCCCCCTATGATTCCCAATGGCGCCAGCATGAGACAAAATGCCAGCACCGCTTCTTCATTCCTCAGGCAGGCACGGCCCTTCGTTCAGGATCTTGCACTGTAGCCTGGAGACGTCTCCCAATCTTTGGTCCACACAAGCACCACCAGCTGCTCATGATTGAATGGTGTGGCAAATCAGGAGGCACAACTCATCTGATCCCTTCAATGATGCACAAATGTTATGTCATCAAGTTTCATGATCTCTTACCCACCCGAGGACGTGGAATGGAAGCAACATGTTCTTCCATCTGTCCATAGTAATATGGATCCCAACCACTGCCCAGCTCCAGGCTGCCCGGCTCCACAGGTAGAGCCCGGAGCGCATTTTCAGCCTTAGGTGGCAAGAGCATGGGGGTTCAAAGGCTAAGGCTTAACTTCAACCACTTTGTGAGCTCTCTTGGTAGAAAAATAATGCTGAATCCGAGCACCACCGGGCCCTCCCGGCCGAGTAGTCCACGGCGTGTTGCATACAGAACTTCGCGACCGGATCCCCCGCAGCGGCCGCTGCCTGCTTACAGGTCGTTGGGCTCGGTGGCTCCAACAGCGGAAAAGGTCGGAAACAGCGTCGGAAAAGGCTTGAAGGAAACAGTGTGTTTCTTCACGTGCTCGTTCATATTGGCTACGTAGATAGTCAGATAATGTTTGGTTTAGTATTATTTAAGATATCTTTAGATATCTTTTGTATATGAATAAGACATGATTTTCATGGGACGCTTGTCCCCTCTGCTTGGCACCGCAACACACGTCGACCCAAGAAGCTCGAGCATCCCCACCACCGTCTCCGGGCGAGGTCGATGCAGGCCGGCGGCAGCTGCAGCATTGGCAGCCTTAGCATTCGCATAGGGCGAGCAAGACTAGGGTGCATGTATATCATGCATCCTGTAAATCAGCAGTCTCACTTGAAGTAACTGCCCACAACGTGTGTGAGAACTCGCTGAGGAAAAAGGAGACTGCTGCCAATCCACAACCAAACAGGGTTTCAACGCTTGTCCAGTTGTTTTGCGTGTCTCCTTGCTAATCTAAGATAGTCTAAGGATCCAACACCAGCATTATTTTCGACCTCAGCAAACCAGAAGGTTGAGGCAATCAAGCTGGAGGGTCTCAATCCGGAAGTGTGGCCACTTGGTAGACCAACCTCCGCAGCCTTTGCACTGTCTTCCCTGACCAAAGCTTAAAATGCACTAAGTCCTGAAAAATGGAAGCACAGAAGGAGTAGAAGAGGATGTGGTGCAAAAGGAATCGACTTGCTTACACACTCCTTTTCTGCGACTCTCTCGCGCTGTGCTGCTTTTCAGCAGTCAATTATCAAGCATATCTCGACGAACTACTGCTCTGAGAGAGGGTTGGCTCTGGTGGATCCGCATCCAAATCTGAACATCTTGAACTCCGAAAGGGCCAACCCCCTTTATTCGCCCCCCTGACGTAGCGTGATTGTGCTCCCGGCCTCATCGTCTCCGTCTCAGGGCAACTTCCATCGTGTGTTCTCCATGCGGATCTCAAACACAATGGATCTTGCCATCATTCACGGGCAGGAACTGGTGAGTGGCCTGGCTTTGGTCAAATGTCGTCTGTTTCGGGCGGTCAAGATCTTGTTTTCAAGGGAAGGCGATGAACCACAACGCCTGCGTGACAATCAGTCTAGGTTTGCCTCTGGCTGCAATAACTAGCATAAGTTGTATATGAATAATCAGCCTGGCACGCGACTATACAGTCTGGCGCAGGTCTGTTGAAACAGCCCGTTAGGTCAAGGGGCTTGGACATCACTAAATTGTGTCCTACCGTAAAGCAACGGAACCGGAGCACAGGCTTATAAATTATGTGCATGTTGCAGATTGCCCCAATGGGCTGGCCCTCTCTTTGGTAGAACAACCCAACGTGGACCAAAGCATAGCTGCTCTTGCAACCTGTATCCAAAAGCAATTTTCAGCGTAGGCAACCCCGGTTGCAAATAGGAAGATATGGAAATATTGGCAAAGAGAAAAGCTGACACCTTGATCCTCTCTTGCCACGTTCTCTCATCCAACAAACCTCTAGGCGACAACCCGCAAATCCACACCAGCCCAGCAAATCCACCGGCCTTTCTGCGTCAAGAAACCACCGCCCAGCCAGACCGGCCCCAAAACCTGATTTCACGGCCTTGCTGCGGTTGAAGCTCACCACACCGATGAGCACCGCCACCATGAAGAGCCCGAAGCCCAGCGCCACGAAGGTCCGGGAGCCGCCCGGGCTTGAGCGGCTCAGGTGGTCGTAGCCTGACATCCGAAGTGGGGCTCAAGCGGTACTTGGTTGGTCTTTTTTCGTTGGAAAAGTGTTGGAAGGATTGGATGATTGAACGCGTGCATTTTGCTTTGGTGAAGTTCCATGCACTTGGTGTCACTTGGTCTTTTTGCACAGATATGGCAGGGGGGAAGTTTTTGCAACGTGAACCATGGCCAAGCGGCTTGCGAAAAGCTCCTCGTCTTCGCTCCATTGGGACATCCATTGAAGCTCTTCTCTCTTCATTGTCGCCAATGGGATCTCTGCCCGGGTATCCTGTCACCAGAAAGATCAAACCACAAGAGCCTGCCTAGAAACGGTATCAGTGATGGTCAAGTGAGAAAAATATGAATCCGCTTCTTGCTCCTATCTAATATTCAATAGTCTATGGCCAATCAGAAGGACACCCCTTCAACAAGAGCCAAGCTGTTTCAGTTTGCATCGCCCTGCCTTCGCGTGGGCTTCCATCTCGTCATCGGAGGCCAGGTATCCATCCCCAAATTGGGTGGGGGACAAGGACTGTGCGGAGCCCGACTTGTGGGGGAAGGCGCAGTCCCTTGGGAAGACATAGTGCAACCTTGGTTCCACTAAGGGAGAGAGTGCTAAAGATTTGAGGGTACACTTGGTAGATCATGCAAGTGTTTTCCTACGTTGTCAGACTGAAACAAGAATAGCTTGAGGACCAAGCAAGTCACCCAAGGGAGTGGTTGAGATTGTTCCCTGGATTGTTTTTCGACTCTGATCGCTATGTTGGAGACGGGCCTGTGAATCCCTGTCCTATGGAACAACGCTCCCGACTTGCTTTCATTCCACTTCCTTTCAACTAGCACCGTCCGGGTTGTTCGTTGTTAGATCCTAGACTGTAGCAGAAATGATGGGAGCCTTGGCTTTTTTTTGATGCAGCTCAGCAACCATTGAGCAAAGAGCCGGCCGTGGATCGGGACCTTACCACCATGCTCCTTGGCAATGCCGCGGAGCTGGTCCACCATAAATTGATCCAACTGCACATCGACCTGGCAACATTCCAAAACACCTGTGTGATCCAAGAGATGCAAAGGTAGTCTGAGACAGGTGACATACACACACATCGCAGCCTGTGAGGCTTCTGCTTCTATCTCAGTCTTTTTGTCATTCGCTTCATCATGGGCTCACCAAGTGCAGCTCCTTTACCCGGCTGCGTGTCTTTGACGCTCTAGCCACACTTGCCAGACCCTTGCAGCAAAGCAAAACAGAAAGCACCAATCCAAGGATTTGAATGTGAAGACTTTCTGCAGTGTGGAGCATAGGTACCCACAAATCACAAGTTGCGAGGCCTTGCTCCTCTTCACAAAGGTGTGATCACAAGCGCACGTGAAGAACAAACAAATCACTATAGGCCAATGGACATCTTGTTCGCGGCAACAGCTTGGGTTGCACCAAGCAACGATTGGATGGAGACATATGAAGAGGAATGCGGCTCCCCAAATGCGCCAATTGAGATTTAATGTTTTTAGAGATGCTTCCACACGCCACTCTTGGAACATTCTCAACGGAATCTCACTTGCCATGATTGTGATGACAAAAGTGGCAGTACTGCAAAAGACCTGTTGCCAAACACCTTTCCCGATGCGCTCCATATACCCTTGTGCACAGGCCACCCAGAATGGAAGCCACCACTTGACAGCATGTGTCTCAACCGCTGGCCAGCATACGTGCCCTTGCTCGTTGTAGCTGAACGCAGACCAAAAGAAAGCGATGACCATGAGGCCAAAAGACCAACCGATAGACTGCACCAGCACCTTGCCCTTCCATAAAGACACACACCACACCAAGAAGTGCAGCGCTGAACATAGGAGAAATGCTATCGGCGCCTCACAGAAAATGCACCAGTCGTAAACGTTCACAGATCGTTGGCTGGACATATCCCGTTGACGCCGCTTGCCCTCCTCGGCCATGTGGGGCGAGGCACCGGTCGACCCACTCCAGGCAAGCTCAGCTCCAGCTTCCAAGTCTCCAACGGCTCGGTGGCAGTGCGGACAAGTTCGGAGATCTGGATCTGGTAGAAAAAAGTCCGATCGACTTGAAGTCGAATCAGTGCTGAACCAGGGCCGCTGTCTCAAGGGACATTTGAGCTTCCTGTTCGCTTCGCTCGACTGCACCGTTTCAGAAATATGTATATATACCTCATGCAACGTTTTCCTTTTCTCCACGCATGCTAGAAATCCCCTCATGAAACTACTGCAGCGAAAGGAAACATCATCGTCCCCATCGCTGTCCCCAGCTGGTCGCCCGAGCGCTGAAGCCCAAATGATGGTTAGGTATCTATTCTCAGTGTTTTTTCCCATGGTCTGCTTCTGGCTTCTTTCGCTCAATTCACTGGCGTCTATCTCCCCACAACGGCAGCAGTTCATCAGAAGAAGGACTTCTGCGTTCTTGCTGCACTTCGACTTCATGAGTCTCGTGGTCACATCTTCCAGAGGCACCTCTCCGTCGCTGAAAATCAAGGTGGGCTTGCCTTTTGCAAGCTCACAGTGGCCATTGAAATTGAAAAGAATAAAATGGTCAGAGTCCTGAATGGTCTTCTCAATAAAGTTGGCCAAATTCAAATCAAATTGTCTGACATTCACATTTTCGCATTCAGCACACCGGAATCCAACTCTGGCCAGCTTAGTAGAACATTCCTGCGCATCCGCGACTGCGCATCTCAATTGTTGCTTATTAGTAGGATACGCGTCGATGCCAACTAAGAAGGCACATTTGCCCATCAATGCGACTACATAGATGTGACTCTGAGGGACTTCCTTGAGAAAAACTGCGGCACCTCTCTCCCAGTTCCACCAGAAACGCTAGCACATCGGTAGGAAATTGTTCAATGCACAATGAGATGATCACAGTGTCAATCGGAGCCTGCTTGTGGGACTTAGATTGATTGTTCCACATATTCGGATCTGCTGGATACCCTTTGTAGCTTGGCCACTACCATCCATTCGCAACTGTTCAGTAGCCCTGATGCTCTTTAAGTGTCTGCTTGGATGCGCGTCCCCATGGCTCTGGCAAGGACTGATTGGTCCATGCGTTGATGAAATCTGGACTAGGCCCTGGATGGTCGCCTCTCCTGTAAACAATTGTAAACACCTGGCGACCTTGTCTGAAGTAACGTTGGACTAGCAGGGTTCGTTTGCATTGCCTCCTCTAATTATCAGATTGCACATGTATTAGTACTGTTTGTCCGCGGTCGGTGGATAGAGAGGAGTCTTCAATAGACACAGGTCCAGAGGCAGCAAAATCCCTGGGGATTTGTGGAAGGCACCCTTTGAAACCAGCTCGGGCCTCATCCTCCAGGGTGGTCAGCGCCGTCATGTTCCCCACGAGCGACAGCAGTTCCTCCACGTCGGCCATGGGTTGCACCACCGCCGCCTCGATCTCGGCCATGATGGGCTCGCACTCGTTGATGCAGCAAATGGAGTAGTGCGAAGCAGTGACAATGCCTCAGCTCTTCGGATCTGTCTTTTCACGACAGGCGAATTGTCCGCAAAGCCCATTTAGTCCTGACCCCCTCAAAGTTTGTTCAAACCCGTTCAAAACCTCACTGCGGCTCATGCAGTGAACAAAAGCTAGGGTATATAGTTAATCCTGGTTGAAACCATCAACGATGTTTTACTGTAACGGCCAACTTGACAGTCTATCATGGCGGGCTAGCAGTTAGAATATTCCATAATTAAATACATGCAGTTAGAAAATTCAAAACCGCATTAGGGTGGGTGTGAAAAATTTGTACTTAGCATATTTTGCAGTTAGAATGTCACACGGTAAGCCACTGGATGAACAAGCAGCCTTTTTCCCTCACAATCCCGATGTTTTTGTATCTATCTATCTATCAACAAAAAAAATGGAGCAAGTCTAGTCTTCTCACAGCATCCTGGAGAGTTTCATAGTGATCGTTGAAGTGCTCCATGGCCAATGGCCATCTAGATAAATAGAGTGCTCAAGTTGAGGGCCAAATGTTACGGTTGTCACATCGGCATATTATCAATATTCTATCTGCATCCTGGTATTCTATCTGCAGCTGATTTTCCAAAATCTGACCCACCCCTTTGACATGCACATCTTTGAGTTCCCGATTTAATAAATAATATTCTATGTGTAAGACCGCTACTCTATCTTATCTTGTAACGGAGGAAGGGAGGGTGGGGTTTTTGTGATAATATCACTGAGTTGGTCTCAGGCCTCTGGCTTGCTAAAGTAAGAACAAACTCAGATAGCTAATGCTAGCTTTCGTGACAACACCCTTGCGGCAAGTTGCAGTTTGAAGCTCCCTGGATGTAGTTGGGGATGATCACCTGCTTTCCAAGCCAGCTCGTCTCATCCAACGCCCCAAGCTCTCCTCGGGCCATGAAACTCGATCAGAAAGCAGGGATGAGGTGGATGATGTCAAGCTCTGCATTTTCTGCGCGTCAAGACCCCAACCGTTGAAACACAGAGGCATCTTGATAGATGATCAATTATGATCGAGATGTAGATTGTAAACTCCTGCTGATTGCATCTGGCAAACCCACTAGAAATTGAATTTGACAACTGATGAATTCCACAGACACTCAATGTAGGTTCTACAGTACTACTTCAATATATATATATATAGTTGAACCATATTCTCGAGCATTTGCATGAACATTCAACAAATGCCAAATAAAAACTGCCGCCACACCAACGCTCCCCCACAACGACAGGGCTCGCAGGTACGACTCAGACTCCCCAAAGCGCCACTCGGCGTCAGTGATGGACTTCCCGTAGAACTTGGACAGAGGCACGCGGCCCGTTCCTCGTGGGACGACACATGGCGTGATTATCCATCGACTCATCAAGGCAGCAGTGGAAAAAAAGGGAGTCGTTCTGACTCCCACTAAAACAAGCGGATGCATCGATTGGTCATGTTTGACTGTTTTATCGTGACTTGGATGCTGGCAAGCTGATTCGACAACGGTGGGCACGATGGAAAAGCAACCAACAACAAGCCTCTAAAGTATCTATGGCCGCCTGCCTTGTACGGCTGGAATCGGCAGAAACTGTCTTTTTTTGCATGTGGCTGTGGCACCGGTTCAATTGACATGTGTTCATCCAACAAAGTGCAGGAATTGAATCCCAAGCCTGATGCGCACCCAAACCAGGCAACAAAAGGGCTTCAGTTGGTTGGAAGTACCATTGCCACGCTCATTGAGCCTTCATCGCTAGTGGGTTGGAGGCCATCGCTAGTATAGTATCTTGATTTGATATGGATCCTTAGGGCTCCAGTCCTACCCTTCTTATTGAGCCTTCCAGATCCTTCCAGGTCCTTCCAGATCCTTCCAGCCCAGCATCTCTTCCGATCCAAGGTCACCAGCTTCTGCTTCATGGCTCTGCACCTCGGAAATCCCATTCTCGCCCCCCGCCCAGACCAAACATCCACCTCCCCCAGAATCCTCATGTCTGTGCCCCTGAAGCAGCTCAGTGGCTCAGACTCCCAAAAGGATGCGAAGGAGCTGGTAATTCCTCCTGACAAACATGCGTCTTGGACGAAGGATTGGAACAAGGTACTGCTTCCCCCTGCACGACCTTCAACAGCCATGTTCCGGATTGTTGGTGGGTTCTATGCGGCCCATCTTGCCGATCTTGGCGGCAGACCAGAGCAGACCAGAAAGGGATTGGCAAATTCCCAAAATAGCCTACGCCGAAGGAAGTAGCACTGAGAACATGTGTTTGTCCTTTTTGAATTATCCAACCCTACGCGACAACTGCATGTGTAACCTCACTATCATTGAGCTCAATAGAAGTACAAACAAACAGGCAGCTGGCAACTAAAGTTATCCTTCCAACAGTGGTGCGGGTTTGGTGGGATGGTTATTCACAGAAAAGATCGCCTGCGACCAAACCCTGCTGCCACCCATTGCCTACCACTGAATGTGCATCTTCGAAGGAGTAGCCTCGGTCAGCCAAGCAGCACAGCAGCTATGTAAGGCAGCCCTCGATCCACGCATCGTCAACACCATTCCCGGCTAACACATGCGAAGTTCAAGAATTTACATAAGATTTGTCACGCACGATCAAAGCGCCACTTGAAAGACGCTCTGTTTCATAAGCTGATTTTAAGACCACAAGGCATCTGCAAATTTCTTCACAATATGGAATAGGCCGCAACGTGACTTGACCTTGATGGAAGGAAGCATCATTAGTGCCTGTTACCAGGACGTCCAGCCCCAAAGGTCTAGGATTCATCCCTGACATAGATCGTGTATTTGTAGGCTGCATGTGGTGTGGCTCTTCCACTTGCACTGGACACACACGACATGAACATCATGAACACTCTAATGATGGGGCGGTAAACGTCTACAGACATCTCCCAGGCCATCGCTAGTAGGTTGGAGGCCATCGCTATTAAAAACAAAGACTGTTTCCTTTGGCCCAGCAGCGGCGTTGGAAGAAGTTCCCTCCCCAGCGCGGCGCGCTCTGCGGCCGCTTTTGCCGCTCGAAGTCCAGCGCCTTGGAGATCGAAAGGGTTCCATCGCAGTAGCTCAAACCCTTCGAGGGAACCAAAGGTTGGTACCTTTTTGCACAAAAGAATACAACTATATAAATCAAAACCGGTCTTCTTCACAATCGGGAAAATTGAAACACATGCCACTTGGTTGAGAATTCAGGTGACTTGAAGTACCTTGAAGATATCAACAGTGACAATTACTCATTAGTGGAGGTGTTACTAGTCGCTTTTTGTTGCTAGTAGCCATGGCCTCCAACCTACTTGCGATGGCCTTCAGCTAATCGCATCCTTGCTATTAGTAGCGATGGCTTCCGATGGCCTCCACCTAATAGCGTCCTTGCTACTATATAGTAGCAAGAACTCTACCCCAACAGAAAATCCAACATGCCCGCTTGAGCATCGGCACCGAGATCTGGCCCGCTACGAACTTGAGCAGCTGATCCCAGTGAGGGAAAACCTCAGTCGCTCTCGACAAGCCAAGTCTGGCAAATTGCCTGAGGAAGGACACACTCTCGGCTCAATGATTCCCTTCGAAGACAAGTGTGCCGCACTGAGCACCTTTGGGTACCTCCTGTTTCAACGGCTCTCTCTCTCTCTCTCGTTGAGCCAGAGTGACTTGCCGACTCGTCCGCACTCATTCAAAGCACATGAATCTGGGCCCCCTGACCTGTGCCAACTCCTTGTTGTTCCCAAGCCTGAGAATTGCTGAGGCTGGGAAAACCTGAAATGTTGAACGTATCGACACCTTCTTTGGTGGACTCTTCAAAATGAAAGCTCTTCCAACTTTTGTCAATTTTCAGGCGCCCTACAGCTACGGAGAGCCCAATGCAAAGGAAAGGTGCCCTACAGTCGGACCAACACATTTCGGCAACGTGCTTACTTCGACTCAAACTCACATTAACGTATTGCTTTCAATGCTGCGCTCTGCACATCTAGACTTATCTATGAGTCGACAAACAGAACATGCCGGGCTGCTTACAGGCAGGCGCAGTCAAGCCGCTAAGAACACAAAGAACGTCAGGCCTTTTACTTCCTTAATCAAAAAATGATTGCCAAACAGACCATTATTCTGTACTCCTGCTGCTCCGAAATGGTAGATCTTCGGATTGCATGAATCATTGTGTTTCAGCCGCTTTAGCATTGCTTTGTCCCAACCGGACTCAGCCCCTACACACCAACCCAAACAGACTATCAAGCCTGCCTTTCCGGCTTGTCCAGGTGTCCAGGTGCCCCCACACGCTCACGATGTCATCCCCTGCCATCCAAACTGCGATGTAGGCCTGATACACTGGGCTCAAGGCAAACACGCTTGATGTGGCCATAGCCATAGGGCATCATAGAATCATAGGGCCATAGGTGACAAGACTTCGCGTATTTACAAAGCCACCCTGGCCACCCTGGCCGCCTCTAGAAGCTGCTGGAGCCCTGTCGCTGACAAAGGTCTCCTTGGTGCTAAGAAGCAGCTGTTGGGTCCAACGTCTGGGCCCAGTCCACTTGGGAAAGCAAGACCAAATTAAAGCCTCACCGACTCCAGCTCCTTTTCGGTGTGACTGCTACATTCTGAAGAGCTGATCTGGACTGGACATGTTTCTGTACTTCTTCACAAGCCCTCCGACTGCCCTAACACATGTTTTTTTTGAGACAAGGCTCGACAAGGGCTTGTTCTGAATCTGATAGA